ATATATATATATGATATGGCACCATGGTATGAGCTTGAGTCTCAGGACCAAGGTTATGGCCCGTATATCGCCTAGGATGGATAACTGGACATAGGTGTTGTTCCCCGGTAGGTCTAGGTACTCATGACTACTTTACGTGCGATTTGCATGATATCTCTACTCAGGCTGAGACAGACCTATTGGACTAGTGAACGTCCTATAGTGTGTATTTATACATATATGGACTACTTTAGATATTGTTTAGTCTATCTAGGATGTATCTACGTATCGGATTCCTGTTTGGATCGTAGTAGATCAGGACTTGTATGTGGGTCTGACCCACTCTTTTATTTTTCAGGTGCTCGTCAACTCAAGGGTTAGAGTTTGATCGTGCAGAGCAGATACAGACTTCTATTCCACCGACTACGTAGGACTGCTTCCTTATTAGCTTTGTTTGATTTCAGCTATTTTATTTATGTTGGGATTTGTTATTAGGGGTCCATTAGATGGATTCCCGAGTTGTAAAATAATTGGAGATTTTGGAGTTTGGTTCTTAATAATTATATTTTGAGAATTTTCATTAGAATTCATTTCAGCCATTTTTACTTATTTCTATTTCAACTTGTATTTGTTGTTCATACATATTAATTGTTTGATATCCCTCGGGTTTGGGTCTAGGCCTAATCAACCTGTGTCTCGGATCCGAGGGGTATCGCAATGAGCCTGAAAAAATGAGCTCGAGCTTGGCTCATTAACTAAACGAACAAATCCGAACTGAGCTTTTAACAAACCAAACCTGAGCTGTTCAAAAGCTCGGTTCGTTTGCAGCCCTACTTGTCATTTGCTCACCGAAGTTGTTAAAAAAAAATTAAATTAAATTAAAAAATTGTTCACCATTTGAAAAAACTATTTGAAAAGTGATCATGTACAGTGCATACTTTTTTGAAAAATGTATGTTGAAAAAAATATTTAAAAAGTCATCAATTAATTATATCTCATTACATAAGTACAAATATTTTATTTTAGTGAGTCATACCACATGACAATATTTAATAAGTTGGTGATATCACATCATTAATATAATAGGAGCAACAACGTATTTTTTCGAACGGACGCATGGAGCCAACATTGAAAAATAGCGAGTGATAGGCATGTATTTATGGATTTGTCGTTGTCAAATACACTCCATATCAAGATAAAATACCTACAACTATTTAACTAAAAATGTCTAATAGCAAATAGGGTCAAACCACGCATTGAAGATGAGTTTCTATTTTCGAACAAAAGATTTAAAAATATTGATTTTGAGGTTTGTCACGAACTATGAAAATGAAATTATAACTCCAAAATATTAAACACTTAAATGAGAATAAACTTGTGAAAATAACTTGCATTAAATTAGAGAAAGCTTTAAAAAAAATTACACAAGTAAATAAACTCTTAATGAAAAATACAACTATTTCTAACTATCTATTCTCTATCTCCAACTCTACACATTTTTGAATGCTCCAGAGTCGGCTATTTATAGCCAAAATTGTGTATCCACAATTGTTGCCTTCTTATTAGTATTAACTTCTTTGACTTCTTTCTTCCTTCATACCACCTCGCTACACCTTACTCTGTCCACTCCCACTTTTGTATCAACTTCACATTATCTTCCTTTCTTTGTTGACTTTTCTTTCCTTTGTTTTTTTTTTTCTTTTCTTCTTTCTCTCTCATCATCATTCTCTTTTTCTTTTATTCTTTCTCCCTCCTCCTTTTCTAGCTTCTTCACATGGCATATATATATATATATATATATATATTGCTATGACGTGGCATGCTGACTAGATGGAAGACCAAAAAAACAATGCTTGACAATGTTTCTTGTCTTTGGAAGGATTCAAACTTGGGAACTCATGAAAGACATTTGAACACAAAGACATCTCAGCTACACTGCTCCTTGTGTTTTCTTTTGTTTAGTAAAACATATAACCTTCCGTGCTGAAACAACTAATTGTCATTTCTTTTCCATTTTTGCTTGCATTCTTCTCATTCATGTATTAACACCTACAAAATACAAAACAAGCATATAAGAATATTTAAATAATATAAAAGTCTAATTAAAAGCTTATTTTGGTGCATGAAATAATAGGTTTTGTGTACTTATCAGCGTGTTTACCTTTGGCTCATAACCAATGAGTAAGAATGATGATACGGTATCACACACTAATTACATATCGACACATGAGTCAAAATACATTTATTTTAGTAAGTCCTATCATTATTTGTCCGTGTATAATTAATTTGTGATATTATGTCTCTATATCTGAAACATTTATCGGATAACCATCTCAACATTCGCTTCTTTGACATACTTATTTTATGCAAATGCTATTTCCAAACTGCCTAATATTTGGTAGGGAAAAAAAAAAAAAAAAATGAAAGAAATTTAAAAGGAAAAAGCTGGTGTGATTAAAGAAGGGGAATTATTATTCTAATAATAATTATTATTGAAGGGAATCAAATAAATCAAAGAGAAAAAAATGGAAAAATGATAGGGATTTTAGAAAGTGGAAATTTTAGGAGAAGCATCTTTGCAAAATTTCATAAAATTATATAGTAATTTTAAATTTTTTTTTTAAAAAAAAAACAAACTTAATAAATTTCTAAAATAAAGAACTAGAGGGAAAGAGGGAAAAATGGTGTTCATTTTATATACATAACAAGTGAATTTCTCTTTTGCTTTTATAACTAATAAATAAAATAATATTTTTGTTTGTTTTTCGTCACTTGAATATTCCAAGTAGGATGATTGGAAGAACACATGATTCCAAGGGTTTTATTTATTTATTTTTTTATTATTATTATTTTTTTCCTACTAATAAAGGTTAAATAAATGATATATGACGAAGTAATTACAAGAGGCCCAGAGTTAGTGAGGCCCAAATAGGATTGGAGAGCACAAATCCAAACATGGGCTAGTACAATGCAAGGCTTAAGCCGCAACATGACAAAACGTAGGTTAGTACTAGCTTTTTTTAAACTCTTCACAAAATCTATAAATTTATCTCGTTTGACAATCACAGTTACTTAATGTTTTTGCTTTGACTCAAAGTAGAAGTAATGTTTTTATTTTAGAGTATGTTTAATACTATTTCAAAACTTGTTTGGTAATGTAAATTTGTTACAAGATTTTTAAAAGCAAAAACGTGAAAGCATATTTGGTAAAATGTGTTGCAAATTTGAAAAATTGAATAGCTAGTTAAAAATGTTAATTTAGAAATGAATTTATTTATTTATTAATTATTATGAACAGTAATTTGCTATAGTGTGAAAGCAAATAAAAGTATCATTTTGATGTTTTCGATTTTGACCTCAATTTTGGAAGCACTTCGGTACTATTCAAATAACAGCAAATATTACCAAACATGTTTCGTGCTTTAGTATTATTATAGTACATTAGCAAAAGCAAAAAACATTGGCCAAACACATAACATGACAGAGAAATGTTCTCGAAATCAATGTCAAATTAACACACAAAAAAGTAATAAAAATAAATAATAATAATAAAAAATAAATTAACACCACACTGAAGTCAAAGTCACAGGAACATTAATCAGACTCAAAAGAGAATAAACAGAGAGAACCACACCTGGACACTGAGAGTGAGAGTGCAAGTGTGCAACCGTTAATTCACCAAACCATGACAATTGACAAAGAAAAGTTCATCTTTCTTCTTAGGGCAAGGCTACAGGGAGATGACACTTTTTCAATATATATACATAATTCATGTGTGTGTTTATATATCTATATACACAAACATATGAATTATGGTGGTTGATATGGTTTGTGTTGATTGAAATATTGAAACTGCTTGTATCTGATTATTATGGAACTTATTTTCATCATAAGAATGGTAGTTGACATGGTTCAATTGAAAATATTAGAACCGTCTACATCTAATTTATTGAAGAACTTATTTTCATGATACTAATGGTGGTTGACATGGCTCATGTCGATTGAAAATATTATAACTGTCTATATCTAATTATTGAAGAACTTATTTTCATCATAATAATGAGGAAGTTAATATCCACATGAATGTAATCACTGAAATGATTATTCTTTTCTAGAGTCCTCTACAATTTTTGTAGGCTTTCAACTCATCGACTCTTATCAGCATAATCCAATGGTTTCAGAATATAGCGCGAACTGAGTTTTGGAGAATAAGATTTGAGACGGTAATATTGGTTGCTTGGCCTGGCTCAATCAAAAAATTATTAGATAGTTCTGAACTATAAGCCACTTGATGATCTAGTCTAATTAAAATTCATGTTTAAGTTACTCTTTCTCTATATGCTAATAAACACTTATGACCGTCAATTACTATGATGTAAGAGTGAATTGGAAGAGAAAAACTACAAACCTTATTTTGAATAATTGTATAATCTAACTTGGTCATTATTTTTTTATATTTTGTAGTACCAATTTTGTATTTGGTTGAAAATTTTTTTATACAAACAAAATGACTTTGACAGAGAGCTTTTGAAAACTGTTTCTGAAAAAGATTTTGCAAAAAAATTCAGTTTCCAGGGGACCAATAGGCATTGAGAAATAAATCTGTCTCTTTTAGTAATTTTTTTTTTTCCCCGGAAGTTAGCTTTGAGTGAAATTGATACGACATTTATAGAGGGAACTAGGTGGTATGCTATTCAAACTTTCAACGAACCGTTCCAACTCAATTCGCTAATGGCTTGATTTACGTTTGTTTATTTAAGAAATGAACAAGACTTGAACAAAATTTAATCAATGAGACAATCTCAAATGCCCGGCTGGTTATTTCATGAATTTATGTGCACGTTTTATAAAAATAATATATAAAACATAATTTCAAGCCCATAAATAATATATGGAAGGACCATTTATTTTCATTTCATTCATAACTAAACCCAACACAAATCAGTCCAACCCATCTGAATATTCCTAAGCCCATCAACTCAGTAGCCCATAGTCCATTTGCATTTGCATAACCTAGGTCACCTCTTCTTCATTCACAGCCACAGAAGACGACCTCTGAAGATTCAACCAGATCTAGAGAGAGAAGAAAGCGTAGAGAGCGAGAGAGAGAGAGAGAGAGAGAGAGAGAGAGAGTCTTCCGTTTTAAGTTCTAACCAGGCTTCAAGTGGTACGTTATTCACTGCTCTGAGAGAGAGAGAAACAGAGAGGAACATTCAGGAGGAGAGAGAGAATATACAGATTTAGAGAGAGAAGTGTTGAGCACAGAAACGAAGCACTGAGGTGAAAGAAGGGGTTTCTTTGGCTTGGACAAGAACTTTTCAGGAACAATCGGTCTGATCCTAGCCGTTGAAGCTTCTGATTCGGACCGTTGGCATTTCTATCTACGAACGCCGGTCGACGGTCGGCTAATTGTCGTTCTCTGTTTGTGATTTTCTCAGATCTCGCTGTCTGGTGAGTGAATCGCTTGGATATCTCGAATTTATTCTCTAATTAGGTTCTTTGAATGTCGGTTCTTTGTTGTCGATGTCTTATCATGCCTTATCTGAATCGATTCGATCGAATGTGAATATTATTATGACATAGAAGTTTAATTTAAGTTATGATTCACGGAAGTGTTTAGAAATTAACTAAAAATAGAAAGTGCTTTTAGTTAATGCACTGTTTGGTTGCTGTTAAAGCTGGAAAAGAAGTAAAAAATTTGAATCCAAGATTTGGAACTAAAACATAATTCAAGTAATTTGTGAATTGCCCATTTAAAAGGGTTTTTAGTTTTAGCATGTCATTTCTTTTGTTGGGATTTGAAATATAGGTGTGAATTGAGAAGAAAGTTGTGTAAGGAATAAGGATCGACTGTCAATTGAGGTAGCCATCTGATTTGTGATGAAAATTCAATTAATGTTAAGGAAACTCTCCTTTCAAAACAGCCCTTCTAATGGATAGAATTGCAGATTGTTGTTACCCTTTCCTTGGGGTACAATGAGGTACAAGTTCATTGACTTATTTTTAAAAATTGTCCTTTAAAACTCTCACACTTAATTTATTTATTTATTTATGCTTTTGTCATTGATAAGAAATTTGCACACGTCACTCACACACTCATTTTGCACTTTTGAAAACTCACACTCACCATCCACTTTGAGATGTATTTATTATTGTTTTTGTGTTTAATATTCATTTATTCCATTCTAGTTTTAGCTAGAGGAGTTATTGGAGAACTAATTTTGATAAATTGAGCAGTTCTTTTTGCTTTTCATATGTGAGATGTGAAAATTGAAGAAACTGATACTATATTATTGAATTGAACATATATACACACGAAGAGTATGCTTGCCTCTAATCTATCACTCTCTCTGTCTCTCTCTCTCTCTATATATGTATCTCATACTATGTGTAATCTCTCTATCTCAGCCTCTCGTACTCTGTTTAAAGAACGACCTGATCTATCAGTCCTGTGCATTTTGGTTCTAGCAATATGCCTCCTCAGTCCTCAGGTAATTAATATCACTACTATTCATGCTCTTCTTCTTTCTTTAATTGGTGTTTTAAGACCTATAATCACATGTTTGTTTTCTTCATCTTATGAACTATTTGAAATCATTTTGAGCAGAGTTCTCTAGCTGTATGATTTTCTTATTATTAATATGTTATATATCTTTATGTCTGTGAGGCTAGCTTAAGTCATGAATAAAAATACTCAATTTTTTTTTTCTTCTCAAATTCTAGGTTTACTTGTTGGGACAAGACAACCTCTGTGAAATGAGTGGATTCGGAAAAAAATATAGGTATGTTTTCTGGGCTGTTCTTTTGTTAATTAAGTATGCTACATTATATTGTTTTCTTTCTCATGCATTTGAAAATATTCTGAACATTATTTGTATTACTAATGTCCCATATATGTGCATGCATTGACACATGCACAACACAAATGAGCTTTTCATTAATTTGTTTCTGTACATACATATTCATGTTGACCACGAGAATAGAGTGCCTGCACTAATTTAGAATAAGAATGATATATTTTCTTTACTTTGTGCAATACTAGATCATTTTTTTTATTATTATTATTATTTTTTTTTGTGGTATATATGAATAGTAAACAATAGAATAGAAACTATGCTCAGCAAAATTTATAATTGAATTGCATCAATCAAGAAGCAGTAGTGCAAAAAGTGGCTAAGGGTGGTAGTTCAGTTTCTTAAGCATGACAAAATGTTTTCAACATACCATGTACTTGTAGCTAATTCAAACATTGACTACATATGTCTTATGTTGGAGATATTGATGTACATTTTCACTATGTTTAAGGTTGCGGTGAATATTCGTTCATTCTTTTTGTTCGGATGACGTACATTTACAATCCATTCAAGGTAAATATTTGAATATCGAAAATCCTCTTTCCCTGTAGTGAATGAGAGATTATTTGCTTTCCCATTTGAGTTCTGTTTCATCTAATGAGTGATGAATCAATCAGCACCAGTCCTAGCGTGGCAAGCGGGACATGGGAATCTCAAATTATGAGTAGTGAATTTTATCTCCCCAAGTTTATCGATATTTATTTTAGTTTTAAAATCATATTAAAAAAAAAAATTATTTTTAAAATTGTGCATAGAACTCTTAGTAAAATTTTAAAAAACCTTGTGAACTAACAAAACTTATCACATTTCCTCCAAACCCGTAACCAAAGTGAAGTTATTGAGACCGACTGAATTTAGAAGTCTGATCGACTTACCTATCATCAAATGGGTTGTGAAATGTCAAATTTGACCATACTATTTAATATTAAATTAAAAGTTATAATAATTATTTTAAAGTTGCACCTTTATAATAATATTATTTAATGTTAGATGAGTTGTCTCATTTCTTGCCTCTATTATTTTTGTTATTTTAAAATAATAATTATAACTTTCAATTGGATCAGACCCCAAGAAAGTTAAATTCGTAATTTTAAAATACTAATTATCAACATTTTAATTTAATCTTAAATACTAAAGTTAATTTTGTTAGTTATTTAATTTTGTTAGTTATATCCATATTTTTTATGGTACATTTTTTTTTTTTTCCTTTTAATATTGATTTTATTTAAACCCTAATATTAAACATTGCATCTTTTACCCTTCTAAAGTAGTAACTGGTCTTCTAGGTTACGAACACAATGACGACCGCAACCCCTTCTCTCAGTAACTGCTGCGACTGTGAAGTTTCAATCAGGTAATGCATATACAATTATTTGTATAGATCTGTATTGAATGGAGAAAACAATACAAAATTTGCATTGTGATTTTGTTTCGGAAGACTTCAACTCTTCAATTGTAATTTTAGGTTTTTTTTGTACTCCGAGTCGAGCTATTCCGCCCAGATCTTTACTTTTATCGGCGGCTCCTAATTGTATGTGTATAACACACAATAATTCATTTGGATTTGGTTTCATTTTTTATATTTCATCTGAAATTGTATGTACCCAAATATGAATTTAATTTGGGATGTGGTGTTCTGATCTCATGTGTATCAGTTTCACCACTGTGTGCGCGTACGTTGAGACTCAAGGACCACCTCATCGGTAAAGGTAAAGGTGAGAATAGAGAGATAATATGTGATAATGTACGTTATTTATGTACCAGTTTGATTTATTTAGAGATCTCAGCAATTATATAGTTCTGTGATAGGGTACTTTCTTTTGTTGTACACAAATTTAGTATGTTTTGGTTATTGATTTTGATCATGTGCCCTACTCATATGGTGGAGCAGGTGTTTAGAAGGGGAGATGCAGTGCTGTAGTCGGTATAATCCTTATGTAGAGTAAAAAGAAATTATTCTGTAGCAGTTTCCCACAATTTTCTCTCTGGTTTTTTTTTTTTTGTTTTTTTTTGGGCATCTAGCAGGTGTCTCCTCTATTATTGAGTTGTCATCTCAAAAAAAAATGAGACCGACTTTAGGTTGTTGGAGCTCAATCTCATTAATATGTAAGTAAAAGCTGTAAAAGCTATAATGATACAGTTATAATTGTTATAACATGTACTATTGTAACTGTTTTTTTAATTAAGAGAAAAAATACACACTTTGGCACATGCATGACACAATTAAATACAATGAAGCATCAAAGAGACAATGGTGAGTACGCACCTGCTAAATGAGCTTTTCAAGAGATTTTAAACTTTCATTTATTTTTCTAGTCAATTATTGCTGCTTATTAATTTTTCTTATTTTTTATTCTTAATCAAAAAATTTTATACTCGTAGACACGAGCTGACAAACTTATATATATATTTTTTAGCTCATTTGGAGATTTAAATCATTATCATCTATTTTAACCATGCATTTTAAAAAGTAGAGGAGATACCAAGACTCTTGGTTATAAAATATTTATTGGTGGTTGAATGTGAAGTTAGTGTAAGCCCTTACTATGTTAACAAGTGAATGAGAATGTTGATATTTGTTTTTTAATAATGAACATTATGGGACGCCGGTTGATAATTGTATATGGGATTATTTGTGTCCTCCCATGCGATTGATCGCATCTCAACACTCAGAATTTTTTCAAAAGCCTTTGAAATGAATGCATGCTGTATCTGCGTTGGCGTGATCGTAGGTTGCCTCGCGATCGATTACCTAACAAAATTTTTGAGCATATAAAAAAATGCAAATTTTGAGCATCTAAAAAAGTGCAAACATGCAATCGATGCGTTCGCGCACTCGCGATCGATCACGAAATCCTAAAAAAACTTCAAATCTCAGGTAATCGCGAACTAAACGCGACCGATCACGTGCGCCGCAACAACTTTTTAAAGTTCATTTCGGCCGTTTTCCTCCTTTTTTCCCGAGCTCGTTCTTCTTCTCTCTGGTCCACGAAGCTTCCATCTTCCACTCTCTCCCTCGTACAAGCCAGATCCAGTGATTTAAAGGCATTTCTTTTTGCATAGGGATGATGAACTTTGATGCATGATAATGATGATGATATAGATGACATTGATGATGATTATTATATCATTTGAAAATGTTTCAATTTTGACTATGATCTTCCATGAATTGTCCATGCTTCATTCTTTGACATAATGATGAACTTTGATGCATAATAATGATGATAATCATGTTGTTGTTGCTGCATGACAATGTTAATTGATAACAATTGTCCCTTCTATTGCTTTGATCCATGCTTGGTTCCATGCTTAGGTGCCTATGAGAAATGGTGTTGATAAATGCTTGGTTTTTGCTCACAATCATACTTGCCATGTTGATGCTATTGTCTTCTCAAGAAATGATGGATGTATTCTAAAATGTTTGGTTTTTGCTCACAATCTTACTCGCCATGTTGCTGCTATTGTCTTCTCAAGAAATGATGGATGTATTCTAAAATGTTTGGTTTTTGCTCACAATCTTACTCGCCATGTTGATGCTATTGTCTTCTAAAGAAATGATGGATGTGTTCTAAAATGCTTAGATCGCTTAATTTTTGACTATTTCTAAGCTTTTATTCATGCTTGAGGGGGTCACGTTATTTTAATTGACCATTTTAATTCATTTTTTTTGCGGTGTAAAAGGGGTCACGTGCCTTAAGTGACCATGTTTCGTTGATGTGCATATTTGGAGGATGGGAATTATAGCAAATGGAGTATTGGATTGCACAGTGTTGCTTAAATTGTGTCGTGTTCATGCTAAAAGCTTTCACCTATTGCACTTCATGTTTAGGAAGGCATTCGTTGTCATTATGTGCATGAGATGGCTTGGGCACCGAAATAATGGTTCAAATGGTTACACGTCCACTCACACTGTGATTCATGAGTAAAGTACAGAGACATCCCCTTAGGTTTGAAGGTAAGGCCATGTAGATAGAAGTTCGTCTATTTTTGGACAATGATATTCCTTTAAGTTTGAAAAATGAACAAAGAAACTCTGAAAATAGTGAATTGACCTTATTGCCCTTTAAAATAAAATTAAAATTTTAATTGACTTAAAATACCCTCGAATTAAACCCTAACCCAAACCCATCTCGAACTCTAACCCGAACCTGCCTGTGTGTATATATATTTATGTATCTATGGCGGTGATGGTGAGTGGAGACAGGCACGGACCCAATGAATTTTTTATATTTTCATTTTATACCTTATTTTTTTTAGAATTTATGAAGATGTCCTCACTAAAATTATAATTTACCCCCATTGAATTTTTTATTTTTCATTTTATACTTTAAATTTTTAAGAATTTATAAAAATTCCCCCACCAAATTTACAATTAAGCCCATTGATTTTTTTAATTTTTTAAAAATTATTATTATTTTTTGCATTTTATACTTTACATTTTTGAAAATTTATGAAAAAAACCTTATTGAAAATATAAAAATGGAACACTATATAAGTTTGCCCCCCCCCCCCCCCCCCCCCCCCCGGGCGCGGCAGGGGTCACAAAATTTTCTGGGTCCGTCACTGGGTAGAGAGGAGAGAAAACGAAGAGAGGAAGAAATGAGATGACATAGATTATGGTTGTAGCTGCGATGGTGGGTGTAGAGAGGGGCGGCCATAGTTGAGGAGATAAAGGAAGAAGATAGGAGAGAGATTATGGTGATGGCTGCGACAGTGGGGGTGGCGGCGATGATTGCGACAATGGTGGCAATCGTTGTGATTGTCGTCGATTATTCAGTCGCCACCGCCTCATCATCACTCCTCAACTTTCCCCCCGCCCTCATTATCGGCGGCGGAACCACCGATCTCATCCTTAGCTATCCACATCATCCAGATCTGACGATGGTAGAACCACATATCTTATCCTCAAAGCTTCGTTACAGGCTCAAACATCAACTTTCTGTCACCGTTAATAATCAAAGACGCTGGCGTAGGGAGTACATCCTCATTATAAAACCCCGTGTTTTCGGCCTAACTGTGTCTCTGTCAATCCTTTATTCATCCGCTTCACGCCGAAAATCAGTGCTCACTGTGGGATCATTCTCATCAATGATCCGTCCGCTTCATGCCGGAAATCCGTCCGGCCCGTGCGTAACGCCGATTCTTACTCACGGCTCCACCGTCAGCGATCAGTCTCAAAAAACTTCGGAGTCCAAGTCAAACCCCGCTTGTCCGAGGCCAAGTTCAACTGAACCGAGGCTGAGCTCCAGCGAGATCAAGGAGGTGGCGGTGGCGGTGGCAGAGCTCCTCTTCGGCGTCTTCTTTAGTGGGTGGTGATTATGGAGGTTAGGGGTGGTGATGACTGTGGTTGTTTGTGAATATATATATATATATATATATATATATGTATATATATATAGAGAGAGAGAGAGATGGAAAAGGTAATTTGGTCATTTAAATATTTTGATATTTTATAATTAAAGTTAATAAAATAGTGAAGGGTAAAGTGGACTTTTCATATGTTTTAAGCTCTGTTTGGATGATAAATTTTACAAAGGGGTATCGTTATCCAAAAATAGGTAAACTTTCATCTACACGACCTTACCCCAAAACTCAGGGGGTATCCCTATATTTTACCTTTGATTCATTCATGTCAATGTCCTTAGGTGACCTCATCCTTAGCAAATGTCATGCTCTCACATGTTATATCCCGTAGTTGTCACCATTGTGCATCACTTCTTCATGTTCAATCATTTTTTAAGAAGTCTTGTGTTCTTTTTTACCAATAACATGTGCATTATCCATGGCCAAAGTCGTTTTAAAAGTAAATAAGTGTTCTCTTGCATTAAGTTGGCCATGTGTCTTGTGGGTCAAATTTTGTCAACATGATTCTAAAAAACTCATCCGGGAATTGTTATATGCCACTAGGGATGGCAATGGGGCGGGGCAGGGCGGGGATCTCATTCCCCATCCCCATACCAGGTAATTTTTTTCATCCCTATCCCCGCCCCCATCCCTATTTAAAATTTCACTTCAATCCCTGCCCCCGCCCCCGCCCCCGCCCCCGCCCCCGCCCCCGCCCTCCATTCCCCATCCTCACCCCTCAATTCCCATTCCCATTTAATATACACTATAATTTTTTTATTTTTATTTTTAGAAGTATGTTTATATATAATTTAGTAATATATCATAATATATAAGGGTATTTTAGTAAATGTACACTCTAAACAGGCGGGTTTACCCTATCCCCGTCTCTGCTGAGTTTTCAAAAATTACCCCCATCCCTATTCCCGTTTGCATAAAAGGGTCCCCAAACCCGCCCTAAACTGGACGGGGTGGGGCAGGGACCCAACGGGGATGGGAATTTGCCATCCCTATATGCCACCCCTTCTATTCATCTTTGACTTTGAGAATGTGAGTCCATTCATCAATGGCTTTAATAATCATATGCTTCCCAAGAATGCATCATAGCTCGGGGTTTAGAAACTCAAATGCATGCACACCAATGCACTCACCCATTATCCTATATTATCACTTGCATGTTTAGTAGTTTTGAAGCAAAGATTGTGTCAATGTGGTTTTGAAATAAAAAAGGAATGCATTCCCCACTCACTTTGGTTACCATTAGCATCATAGTCTATGCTTACCATCTTCATGCTTCAAGATTTAACCAAAAGTTCAAATTTAGCATAACCATTCGACTTATGTGATCATTGCATTGCCATGGTGAGTATTCCAGCCTGTCACGTGGGTGACACGATTCGATCCCTGGCAACGGCGCCAAAATCATGAGTGTGGAATATAAAGCTTGGAAATTTGTCAATTTTAAATTTATACCACTATTACTATATAAAGAGTATGCCGAGTGGGGATCGAATACAATGACTTGAAGGCTTAATTTAAGTTTAATTATAATGATCAAATGATAAGAAGAAGAGTTTGGTTTGCTTATAACTTAAGACTAAAATTGAACTATCAAAAATGTATTAAAGAGGATATTAATGTAATGTTTCTGATTTTTACCATTTTCTAATTTCTGGAATTTTCTGTTTTTGCGACGGCATTTTCGTATTTTCTCGTTTTACGTGCCGGACACCGTGGGGCGTGCCGGGTGTGTCCGAGAGTTAGTTGGGACATTTCTTTGAGTTTAAGACTCTTAGAAATGCAATGGTTGTCATTTCGACATTTTTTCGTTTTTCGGGCCGGACTGTCCCGGGTAGGACCCGCTAC